GATTTTTGAAAATTTGATTAATAAGCTTCCACTTACAGGATTCTGAAGCTACATATTCCATGAACCAGTGGCCAAGGAGAAGGTGAACCAGGTAGCTTCATTTTGAAAAACAGGTAATGAAAGAGTAAGAACTAAAAACCTCAGACCTAAGATGGTTAAAGTATAAATGGAGGAAAATCCAGACCTGTTCCCTAAACCACTAGAATTCTGACTAACATCAGCATAATTTAATTGCAATTTCCCAATCAAGAGCTCCCCTCTCTGAGATTCATTTCATTGAAAACACCCCACCAGATAAACCTTAGCCTCTTTCCTCAGGTCCTAGAGGCTAATTGAAGCCACTCTGAACTTGAAGCCAAATTTACACACAGAGGTTGAGGTTCCTGAATCCCAAGAGCCAAATGTGCCCAAGGGCAAAGGAAAAGATCTTACTTTTGGAATATTGAAAACAGTTCTAGAGCTGGAGTCCTCAGCACTAGATTGCAGAGTTCCAGCCCAGTTTCAAGATGCTAATGGGGAAGCTTCTAAGCATAAAGCACAGGAGGCAATAGAGTGGGGTTCTTAACCTAAGACCCATGTGCAGGTCAGGGAACCCACTATACTTGTCCAGAAAGCTTGGTGTTTATGTGGATGTTTGCATTTTCATCTGGGATGAAGAGTTGTATTTTCACTAGAACCTCAAAGAATCCCACGATCCAATGTGTCAACATACTTCTGATATAGAGGAGGATCCCAAACTGAATAGAAGGAAGAGATGACTAACTCCTTATCCATGTAAGTTGACCAACGCAGAGGATGTATGATATGCAAAAGATGAGACAAAATCAACCCACATTCTCATGTCATTGGAGTTCAAACTCAGGACAGACTCAAACTCATTCCTGTTCTCTTCAGTCTTCTCTATTCTCCCCAGTACAGAAAATCCCCATTGCAAATATTTGAAAAGTGTACTATAGTAAAGCAAAGAGGTGGGGTGAATCATGTATGAATGCTGCTTTCTTCTGGCATCCCGTGGAAAAGTGCTCAAAGACAGGGAGAGTTGATTCCTTGCTAGCCACAGATTACAGGATTTTGTATCCTGGGACTGTGGGAGATCCTCCTGGTAAGTCAGAAGTAAAACCGTGTGTCTTATCAGTTAACAAGTGCAAAAATGCCTAGTTTTCCTTGTATCTTTCCTGGATCCCAAACTCCACAAATTTTTTCTTTTTCACAACAATAATAGCTGACATTTACTAATCAGCTACCATGTGCCAGCCTCTGATTTAAATGTTTTTTGGTGCAATCTTATTTAATCGTCACAATGACACTATAAAGTAAAGTGCTAGAACTTATCTATTTTACAGATGAAGAAACCGAATCACTAACAGGATGGAGACTTAAGGCAGAAATGGAAACCATGCGGATACTCCACATGTAAGTCCCAGCAGACTCCTAGGGCTCAGAGAGGGAACTAGGAGGGCTGGGACAAGACCACATTCAATCACAGGTTGTCCCAGGACACCTGCTCAGCCTTGCCTTCAAGCCAGAGAAGAGCAATCCTGGAGAAGGTGGCCAAGTGTTTACCAAGATCTGCACCATGAGAGTTTCTGTAAGCTCCAGAAGGAAAAACAGCAGCAGGGGAGCCAGGGGACAGAAGTCCAGATCCAGACAATGTCAAGCCTAGCTGTATGGCCGTAGGTGAAACTCCTGGTCTCCATAAGACTCAGGGGCTTCATTCATCACATGGAAATAGCACCGTCAACCCCCAAGGACATTAGAAGGTCAAAATGGACCGCAGGTTTGGACATGCTCACACTTCAAAGGGCTATTCAACATAAAGTGCCATGACTACTGCTCTTCCTCACTTTATCTGCCAGAGTTCAGCCTCTACGCCACCATCTCATCCAGTTCCCAGAGTACAGAGAAATGAACTTACCATCTCCTCTGCGCCTCAGCTTCCTCTCGGCCGTCTGCCCAACCCAGACTTCTTATAGTCTTGCTGCCTCCCCTCAGTGTCAAGCTGTTTAGAAAAGCAACTTCCTATTCAAGTTCCAGAAATTCACCACAGCCCTTCCCATGAATTTGGATGTTGATAATACAGGAGCAGTTGATAATACTTAGTAGCAGTGGTCACCGGGGGGTAGGAGGTTACCTACTTCCATGGGGGATGGTCTGGAGACAGGGGCAAGTGTGAATCACTCCTGGACATCCCAGGCTGAGCAGCGCAGGAACAGTGCCCACACCCGAGGGGTCAAGTTTCCTCTGTTTATGATATGAGCCCCAATTTAAGGTCGTACGTTTGGAAAATATGCTCTGTCTTAATCATAATGCCCCAGTGTAAATTTTCCAGTTATTGTGAAATCTCAGTGAGTGTTAACAATTCCAGCAGACTTCTGAGGCAAGGGAGCAAAAATAATAATACAAAATAATAAGGTAGGAAAGGAAAAAGCCACTGAGAAAATCCTGAGGGGGGCGGTGTGAAATATAAAAAAAATGGGTCATTATTAGAAAAGAGCTTCTGCTTCTTGTATCAGAAAAAAACGTAAACTGGAAGTTTCGTGTGTGGGAGTAGGAGGCGTTGGCTCAGTGCTCTTCAGCCTGGGCTCTGTGGCTGAGCTGCCTGAGACCCATGTTGGCCGCACGTGTGTCTCACCATTAGGCAAATGACCTAAATTCTCTACGCCTCTTTTTTCCAACTGTGAAACACAATGACAGTGACAGAACTCACCTTACAGGTTGTTGTGTGGTTGAATGAGTTAATACATGAAGAGTGCTTAAAACCATATCTGGCCCACAGTGGGCACTCACCCAAAGTAAGCCATTGTTGTTACTTCTCAGAGTTGTTATCAGCCAGCCTCAAATCAAGTATCATGTACTCAGTGTCAAGTCAGAAAACCCTACCTCCCGTTTATCTTCTTGCGGTTCTAGTTGTGCGGTATTGGGTGTTATTCTTCATTCTCTCCATGAGTGTTACAGCTTGTAAATAGGCATCTTGTGGGTAGATTAAAAATGGAATAAAATGGAAGGATCTGGAGAGAAGTCCAAAGATAACGATGATTTAAGGAGCTTGGGGATGCATTTGCACTGAGGAATTTGGGCCCAAGAGGAAGGGATTAATTATGTATAGGTAGAAAGCCTAGGGAGGGAGGTGGCAATGAAGGAGTAACAGGAGGGGAATGCAGAAACTGAGAGGGGAGAAGAGGGGGGCAGCTCGAGTGATGCAGTGGTTGGGAGCCCGGGCCCTGGAGCTAGATAGTTGGGCTCTGCCAGCCACCAGCGGTGTGCCCTGGGCAACTTACTACCCTCCTTGTGACTCAGTTCCTTCAGCTATCTCAATAATAAACAATGATAACAGTCACTGCGTGGAAGTGTTAGGACCATTAATGGATTTATACGGGAAGGGCTTGGAGTGTACCTGGTACACAGAGAGTGCATGTGCATTGGGGCTTTTGTTTTCCTGAGACTTGCCTCCTTTTCCTCTGTGCTTATTTTCACTCTCCAGGCCCTCTTGGCATTGCCTCCTTTTTAAAAACATTTCTCAGATGGGTATGCGGGAAGGTGGCTCTGTAGACTGTAGGTCCTTATTGATAATGTGTTTTAAATTGGATAATGTTAAGTTTTAGGGAGTCTGATGGAAGTAGAGAAGGATTTCTGGGAAGAAAAATGGTGGGGAAACACTTGACTTTGTTGAAAGGCTGTTCAGGCTGAAAACCTGAATACCATTTGCTCAAATGGATATCCTCTACGTAGAAAATTTGGATTGTTTCTATTTATGTGGCCATTAAAAATACAATATAACGCCAATGTAGTTTAATAGGTAGTGTGATTTATTTGTTCCATATGTTTTCTCATCTCTTCATAGTCTATGGGCCCCTCTCCTATGTTAGTTTTCCTCTCCTATTGTGTCTAGCAGAGGGCAAATAGACAACAAATACCTGTAATTCATTAGTTAGATTGATGACTCTGGGCAGACGCGATGAAAATGCTCCCTCCCATCTCCACTTGGATTTCTACTTATCCTATTACATGGATGCATTCATACACGCACTTGGATTTCTACTTACCCTATTACGTAAATGCATTCATACATGCAACAATTATTTGCATCCCTCCAATGTTTTAGGCACCATGCTAGCACTGGGGATTTGGAAAAACCCTAGTGGACCTCACACTTATTTTTTTTTAGGGAAGAGTCATTAGATATTAAATAAAAATCACACGAATAAATGCAGAAAGAAAAAAATGTGTTGCAGTAAAAAGATATGTTGGGAACTCAACCCGAGGAAGGCTCCCAGGGACAGTGACTTCAAAGCTGAGGTCTTACTTTGAATAAGCATTACTACATCAGGTAGGGAGAACATTCTAGGTCAGTCAAGGCTTAGAGCAGCCTGGGAGCCTCTGGACAGCACAGTGGCTGGAGGGTGGTAAAGGAGGCTGGACAGGTAGGGAGCACCTGGACCATGCCCAGTCTCAGGCCATGTTATGGCTGTTAGCACATGCACCACCTGTCATTCTGTGAAATAGAAGGCAGTTAATTACTCCTGTACAGCTGGTAGCTCTACTCAGAGAACACTAGGGAACTTTCTGCATAACAGGCTGGAGGATGAAAGGCTAGAACTTTAAAAAGAACATATAGCTCCTCCCCCTTATTGTTAATATAATATGTTCATTGTTAATTAGAAAAGAAAGAAAAAGACAAGAAAATTCAGAAAAGCACAGAGAAGGGGAAAAAGATCTTCCCTAATACTGTGGAATTGGAATGGAATTAGAATCCCATTATACACTCAGTGCAATGCTTTTTTTGTTTTGTTTGATGATATATCATAAACCTTTGTGATGCTTTAAGATATATTTCTGCTGTAGTTATGATCACCCCTGCAATATATAAATACATCTAAGTAGAGATACACATACAACGTAAAGATGAACAATAAAGGATAAAGTTAACTCTTCCCATGGCTTAAATGGACTTTATCAAAACTTCCCAGAGAGGGGGAAATGGGAGAAGAAAAACAACTTACCAGATAAAGGGATCCCTTGTGACTTACTCTCCTGAAGTGTCTGACCCTCCCCTGTTGGCTGACACAGTCATGAACAAAGATGTCAACCCTCCCCATACAGCTTTCAGAAGATATCACACACAAGTCTCTCGAGCTTCTAAATCTTCCGGTTGAAACTCTATTTAAATTGTTCTGTGGTGTTATGATTAAGCATTTCTTTTCTCTATCTTTGCTCTCCGGTTTTTGAAAGGGAAGGAAAGGCAGTGAAATCAGTCATCTGGGCAAAGGTCTCAGACAGTAAACTTGTCCACACACATAACCTTAAATAGAAATTGGATTCTCAGGACAAATTCCACATTACCATGTTTATGCCCTCTCAGTCCCACCCTGGGGGTTCATTTATTCATCTTATATATTTTCATGAGGATGTGTGCTGTGCTATCATCTAAGTGAATGAGACACAATCCCCATCCTGAAGGAGCTCAAAGACCAATGGACAGACAGGCACAGAAACAGATCATTATGAACATGGTGGGGGAGCCAGCATATGCACCCATTCCTGCAGGAGCCACTTGAGAGGACAGCTAACTAATGAAGAACCTGCTGGGGGCAATGGAGAGTGGTTAGAAGACATGCTTGGAGCCAACGGCTCTTCAGCTGAGTGGAAGAAGTGGGATTCTTTTGTGCAAGCTCAGTGGCTGGATATGTACACACAGAAAATAAACTTAGCAGATGAATTATGAAGTGGTATCTCACATTAAAAGTATTTTTACTCTCCTAAAAGCATATTGTTTCTGGGGCCCTTTGATTACCAGAAGGCTGTGATAACCACAGAGAGGTTATCACCCACATAAGAACACTAGAATCATAATCAAATGGTGACCTGTCTATAAATGAACACCATGAATAGAATATTTAAAAGTCACTGAGGAAATGAAGCAGAGATATTGTTAGGTTTATGAGCTATGATTGCTGAGCACTTATTCTTAGGCCAGACTTTATGAGAAGCATTTAAATATCTGTATCTCACTCAATCCTCACAATGGCTTTATGAGGCAGATTCCATCTACATATTTGGTCCATCTACGGGGGGGTTATTATGATTGGCATTTTATTGAAAAGGAAATTGAGATTGGGGGGGTTAAATGCCTTGCTCAAGATTACAGAGCTGACAAAAGAAAAGGATGAGATTCAAATTCTTTTTTTGTAGTGAAACAATTTTTTTTTTTTTTCTAGTGTGGTGGGGTTTTTTTGTTTTTGTTTTTGTTTTTTTTTTTTAAATTAAACTCAGTATAAAGTGCTTCCTGGGGAGGGAAGAAGAGGTTCTTCTGACCCTCTCCTCTTGGCAGTCTGGTGGGTATTCTATGCTCAAAATCTCTGATACTGAAAGATGGATCAAGGGTGAAACTGAATCAAACTACTTCTCACTTCTATGTCAGGACACAAGGTCACGTCTCAGGTCAGGGTCTGCTGTTACGGAGCCTGCTTGGGTTAAAATTGCCTTGATCACAAAGGGAGTTGTTGCTAATTTGCTGGGGAATGTATTTTTTGTCTGGAAATGTGAGGCAAACATAAAAATGCTCCAATTCAATTCAGAGGAAAAATGGCAAGATTGCATGGGAAGTAGAACAGGCTAATTTCTTTTTTTAAATTTTTATTTAAATTCAATTAATTAACATATAGTGTATTATTAGTTTCAGAGGTAGAATTTAGTGGTTCATCAGTTGCATACAACACCCAGTGCTCATTACATCACGTGCCCCCTTAATGCCCATTGCTCAGTTACCCCATCCCCCCACCCCCACCCCTCCAGCAACCCTGTTTGTTTCCTATACTTAAGAGTCTCTTATGGTTTACCTCCCTCTCTGTTTTTATCTTATTTTATTTTTCCTTCCCTTCCCCTATGTTCATTTGTTTTGTTTCCTAAATTCCACATATGAGTGAAATCATATGGTATTTGTCTTTCTCTGACTGACTTATTTTGCTTAGCATAATACCCTCTAGTTCCATCCACATCATTGCAAATGTCAAGATTTCATTTTGATGGCTGAGTAATATTCCATTGTATATATACACCACATCTTCTTTATCCATTCATCTGTCGATGGACATCTAGGCTCTTTCTATAGTTTGGCTATTGTGGGCATTGCTGTTAAAAACATTGGAGAACATGTGAGCCTCCATCGAATCATTTAGACTAAGATTATGCAGTTCAGAGCTCCTACAGTTTCCTGCAATGTTCCTAGTTGACCTGCTTTGCTTTTTCCCAAGATCAAGTATAATAAAAGATTAAAGAGTTGCTGATCTTTGCATCACATAACTTGCTTTCTTTTGATGCATGCAGGGGAGTGTTACCTCTAATGGCAATTATGCCTGCTCTCTGAAGTCTTTCATTTTTTGGGAAATACATCTCTGAAATGGCAAATAGATACCAAACTGGGAGAAATATACATAACATATTTTCATTACAAAATTTTATCCAGTAAAGGTGGTTTGATGACCCGAACTGCTATTGAGACTAATAAAAACCTCACAGTTACCAATACCTCCAGCATTCTAGAGGCAGGACAACCAAATATAGAATTAAAAATACTAATTTGGCATTCTTTTTTTTATGGTGTGGTTCAGAAAAGTGCTCCTCCAGTTAATTAAATTTTTTTTCAATTGAGAACTAAGAATTATACAATAAGACCTCTCAGTCAAGCATTTATCTAGGTAACATTATCATCAACAATTTACTGACTGGCTGTTATGAGTGGGACATTGTTCTAAGACTTGGGACTTGACACAGATATTAAAGTCAGTTTGCTGAGTCTGCACAGAATGCTGCCTCTAGGAGTTGTCAGTCTAGTTGGAGATATAAGCCACATGCAAAGAAAGGAGAGATGATGACATGAGAGTATGCATGCTCATACAGACAAGGAGGTGGCCAGAGTGCAGTGAGACAGTGAGCTAGCTGAGAACCCGGGTTAGACAGGAGGTGCATCTTGTGCTTTCTGCCCCAACCACACCAGTCTAGAGGACATCAGCTTCTCACAGCATCCCGTATAGCTATGAATCTTCCTAGATAGCCAATTCTATTATTTCTGAAAATGCTAATATTTATTAGGTTTTAGAAATTGAGCAATTTCTGGGTGGCTCAGTCAGTTAAGCATCCTACTCTTGATTTCAGCTCAGGTCATGATCTTGGGGTCATGGGATTGAGTCCCTCATCAGGCTGAGCACAGAGCACTGAGTGTGAAGCCTGCTTGGGACTGGCTCTCCCTAAAAAAAAAAAAAAAAAACCCCTGCTCATGCTCACTCAATCTCTCTCAAAAAAAAAAAAAAAAAAGAAGTTGAGCGATTTCAGATTAAGCATTCTACCATTCCTCCCAACACAGACACACACACACTGCACATACACTTTTTTTTAAGTATTATTTTCAACTATAATACATTTCTTATGAGTCTGGTGAATGTAAAACTTTTTTCCCCCTTTTCTTTGATATTGTCCCCTAAATTCTTAAATTCAGTCAAAAATGTATGACCTCCTTTGAGATCCTTGCCTCATACTGGCAGGAAGGGTCCGAACTCTATAATGGACCAGTTAAAGCTTAAGGTGGAGTCTCTAGGAACTAAATGAGGAAGGCCCTGGGAGGAGTCAGATGGGCAGGTCTGGACCTTAAGGAGATCTGAGAGCCAAAACCCTGAGGCCACAGCCAAGGTCAAGGCAAAGAGTAAGAGAGGAAGGGCTTTGAAAGGGAGAGGAAGCCACTGGACAGTGGGAGGACAGGCTGGGACACCAGAGAGGAGCCTATACTCTTTCTTGATCGACCTGGCTTACCGCATAGGAGGGTCAGGATGAATATCAGAAAAAGAAAACAACTACTTCATTCTTTCTTTCTGTTTTTTTAGGGGGGGGGGATTTATTTGAGAGAGAAAGAGAGAGCACGAGCCGGGCGGGGGGGGGGGAGGAGTAGGGGAGAGGGAGACTCCCTACCAGCAGGTGGCCAGATGCGGGGCTGGATCCCAGGACCCCGGGATCATGACCTGAACTGAAGGCAGATGCTTAACGGACTGAGCCACCCAGGTGTCCCGCATCTACTTCATTCTGAAAGGAAAATTTAGCAAAGGCTTTAGGGTGGAGGCTCTTCGAGTCCTTGAAGTCTTTGAACCGTAAGGTTCTCCAGTGCAGGAACCATGCCTTAGTTGTTTTTGTGTCTTCTGACTCTCAGTATACTCACTAAAAATTAACACAAGTCACATCAGATTCCCTGCATCTGAGCCGGTCCTCTCCCACCTCCACTGCCTTACCCATTACACAACTTTCTGTTTAAACAAAAACATAATAGAACTGAAGAAATACTAGATTTTTTTTTTTTCAGATTGATTTGGAGGTGTACTTTTGGAATGGCTTCCTGAGCAGTATTTCTGTCCTGAAGTTGGGACTGAGAAGTTTGCTTGTGCAATTGGACCAAGGGGATGTTTACCCAGAGGATGCAGATTCTCCAGGCTTGAACACAACAAGGGCAACTTTAATTGCACCTCTCGTGGGCGTGAGTCCCGCAAGTGGATAGGTAATTTTGAACTGTTTAAAAATTGATGTATATACCTACAAATTACTTCCTTTTCTTGTAAATATCTTGGTTATCAAAATGGGTAATTTATTGAAACACATGTAAACTCCAGCTATGACATTAAACAATCAATTAGAATAAAATAAAGAATTGGAAAAATAACAGCAGTGTAAAATGACTTGGCTGGAAGTAATCAAATCAAGTCCAAAGTTTTAATCTTCAAATAATTCTATGATTCTTGCTCCTGATAAAAGGGAATTGTCTTACCAAAAGGTATAATAGCCCCTTAGGGATTTGCTTTCCTTTTAACAATTAAGAGACAGGAAAAGGCGTCATTTGAGATTGTGATTTGGGTGACCATTTTTTGTACTTAAACTATGCTTAATAATCTCTTTTGATGGCTAGTTTGTTGTTTCACTCTTTGTTATGATAATAAAACAGATTTTGTAGCTCGTCTGTCAATGTAATTAATAAAAATAAATCTCCACAAGAAAATAGTCTTTTGCTAAAATGAAAACATAAAAGTAATATATTCTCTTATAAGAGATCCATGCCATACAGAAAGGCAAAAAGAAGAAGCAAAAGCCATCCAT